AACAGTTTTGTTCTTTATAAAATGGCATTGTACAGGTTCTAATTCTAGGCCAGCTATATCACATTCCCCCGTTCTTATAATCATGTATTAAATCTTTAATAGGTGTCCTCTTCTTGACACAGGGGCCCATAGTTAGATCTTAGAATCATTAATTTTACTGAATCTATTCTTTCTTGAATAAATTTGCGGAGCATGTTTAAAAGGCATGGTCCAAATGTCAACCCTAGGACCACTAAGATTAAGGGTCCTGCTAATCCAGTGAGCAGGGATGTCAGCCAGGGGGACCAAGAGAACAGTTTTTGGTACCAATTTCCTGAGGCCTCTCTGACGTGTTTCCTTGTTTCTAAGTTTTTCCTAACCATAGCAAGGCTGTCTCGGATAACTCCAGAGTTATTTGCATAGAAGCAACATTGCTCACCGAGAGCCGCACACAGTCCCCCTTCCCTCAAATAAAACAAGTCTAACCCCCTTCAATTTTGTAATACCATTTCAGCCAAGGAGTCCACTTGTTCAGCTAATATGGTGATGGAATTTTCCAGATGGGTAATATATGCATCTATTTGGTGTGAAAGAGCTTTGAAATTTTGGTCCCCAGTGACTAAGGCAGAGATTCCTATAGCGGTGGATCCTGCTATTCCAAGTCCCACTAATAGGGGTACAATTATGGGGGCCCGTTTCCAATGTCTGTGTATCGGGTGCCATGAGAATTTCACCTTGGGGTCCACTGTAAACATTTACCCGGGGCAGTATATACACGGGGGTACAAAGAATGGGTTTTGAGGAGTTGCTGAACTGGTAGGCGGAAATACAGCTCGTGAGGCCAAAAGTACAGGTGAACCAGACGGAGTCTGGGGCAGTGTAGTAAAAACTTGTTTGAGTATAACTTAAAATGAGGGTATTTTTGCAAAAACGTCGGTAGGGGGAGCTGGTGATATTATAATTAGGGGAGTGGTAACATCTGCCTTCTCCCTCTAGATCACCTAGTGTTATATTGAACTGCCTTTCAGTACATGAGGTGTTTGAGGGGGCTATGTCGGGTTGGGCTGCTAGGCTTATGTAAAATGGTGGCTGTGGATTTAAGCATAGCCAGCAATCTTTTCCTAGATCTGGGTTTGTCTGGTTGAGCAGGTGGTGTGTGGAGGACAACATGTTTAGAAGGTTCAAGCCTTCTATGTCTGCGGGGGGGGGGCTTCTGTGAACAGGTTCGGAATGGAGATAGCAGTGCTAGGAGTGGAGGATAGATTGGGATTAACAGGGCTAGGACTGGGGGCTATCTGGACCTTGGAGATGATTTCTGGGGGCCTTAGGACCTCAGCAATGGGTCCCACTGGGTGGTCAGTTCTGGGCAATGGTATACGCTGGATGGTAAAGATGTTTCCCTTATCCCATCCACTCATATATACCCTAAGACCCCAGGTTCGCCTTGTTGCCCATCTCCCATCTGGATACAGGACCGTTATTTTGAGTGGGTTACAAGAACCGGTGTGGCAAGGGCTCGGGGGAGAGTCTCGGGTGAACGAGATGAAAGTGTCTCTGTTTTTAGTATATCCTGTTATAGTGGAGATAGACTCACAGCCCCAATAGGGGCAGAAGAACTCATATAAGTCATCACAGTTCCACTTCTTATCTGGTGTGGATCCTGAGCATAAATATAATCCCATGGTCTGAAGCTGTTTCTTGGCTTCAGTTGTGCCACATCCTATTCCCTTTACCCCCGTCCGCCCTCCCTTTTTGGTTTTATCTATATTGTTTACACTTAGGCTTTCTCCTAGGAGGGTGCAGAGGTCTAGGGGAAAAGTTATGGGCTGTCTGGGGACATACTCTAGGGTTAAGTTGGCAAGGGTAGTTCCACACCCAATTAGGGAACCAATGAATTGTCCTGTTGAGCTCTCTGTGAGGACCCATCGGTAATAGGTGGGTGTCAAGGGGGGTCCCCTCCAAAGGGCCACACCAGGAATCAGGGGGGCAAGGAAGGTTATTGTGAGGAGTGCGAAAGTCTTAGCTTTAGGTAGTCTGCTGAAGCTGAGGTCACTCTCCATTGTGCGTCCAGGGGGGCAGTCTTGACATGTGAGTGGTGAATCCAGGCAGTTAGTCCATCCATCTTGACAGCCATGGGGATGACCAGAATCACGGTGTAGGGTCCCTTCCAGCGAGGAGTCAGGCGGAAGGCATTGAATCTCTTTATCAGGACTTTGTCCCCCAGCTGAAAGGGGTGTACCGGCTGGTCAGTGAGGTCCCCTGAGGTAGGTTGAGCTCCCCTGATGAGCGGGTACACCTGGGACTGAACAGACTGGAGTGCCTGCAAGGACTTAAGGAGTGTATGGTTATGGATTTCCACATGTATGGTGTCTGCAAGATTGGGGAGTAAGGGAGGGGGCCTACCAAACATGATTTCAAAAGGAGTAAAGCCTTTATTATAGGGGGTATATTGGGTATGGAAGAGAGCAAAAGGAAGCAGGTTGACCCAGTTTTCACCGGTCTCTAGGATAAATTTTGTCAAAGTTTCCTTTATGGTCCAGTTCATCCTTTCAACATGCCCCTAACTCTGGGGGCAATAGGCACAGTGTAGTTTCCAGGATATGCCCAGGGCCTTGGCCAGGCCCTGAGAAACTTGTGCCATAAAGGCAGGGCCATTATCTGATACCAGTGTCAGGGGCAAGCCGAACCGAGGAACCAGGTCCTGTAGCAATCTCTTTGTTACTACCAGTGCGGTTTCTGACTTAGTAGAAAAGGCCTCGACCCATTCAGAGAAAGTGTCTACAAACACAAGGAGGTATTTATAGCCACATGCTGGGGGCTTTATTTCAGTAAAATCTACCTCCCAGTGTTCCCTGGGCTGGCACCCCTAAGTCTTATCCCTGCCTGACTAGCCCTACTGGCCCCTGGATTTACTCTGGCACAGACGTCACAACGAGTAGAAGTTTCCTTAACAATCTCATATAAATGTGGAATGTAGTATGTGGCCCTCAGCAGCTCAGTTAGTTTTGTTTGCCCTAAGTGAGTAGCCTGATGTATGTCCTTAGCTAGAACCCTTCCTAGAGCCTCGGGGAGCACAATCCTTGTGTCTGGTAGAATCCACCATCCTGTGGAATCTTGTCATGCCCCCTGTTCTTTAGCAAATTTTTCTTCCTCAGGCGAGTACATTGGGGTAGGAGGCAGGTTTGGGGCCGGCAAAGTCACAAGAAGAGTCAGAGGTTGTACTGGCCCCAAGGCTGCCTGTCTGGCTTGCAGGTCAGCTGCCCTATTTCCCCTTGCCTCTGGTGAATCTCCTTTCTGGTGTCCTTTGCAGTGTATTAAGGCCACTGCCTTAGGCTTCCATAGAGCTTCTAGCAAGGCTAGGATTTCCTCTTTTTTTTTTTTTTTACTTTTTATATTTTTATACAAAATAAAGATAGGGTTTCGCTATGTTGGTCTGGCTGGTCTCGAACTCATGGGCTCAAGTGATCTTTCCTCCTCAGCCTTCCAATGTGCTGGGATTATAGGCATGAGCCACTGGGCCCAGCCATTAGTTCTTTTTAAGCCTCTTTTTAAATATTCATAATTGGACATGATGGGACCAGAATTTCATATCCTAATGGGAGAGGTTAAGGTTGAGGGCTTTTGAGAGGGTCCACGTCCTTTTCCCAAATAGTTTACTCTGTTCTTTTGGACTCAAGAGTAGAGCAGCTTTTTACTCAGGCAACCTAGGGAGAAAGTCGTGTTGAGGTTTGAATGCAGTCCTATAATAGGGGAGAATGAAATGGTCCCATAGCCTAACAGCCGGGCTTGGAACAGGGATTCTAGGCCTCTGTTTGATTTCATGAACCTTTAACTTTCTCACTCCAAAAGTGAGGAACCACTTTCTGTCCAAAGTCAATTAAATTAGGTTTGAGAAGTTTCTGGGAAGTTTATAATGCCCTGTCAGATAAACAGGGACATGCTGTTGGCCCTGAGGATTTCTCAGAATGACCTCTGGTGAGATGGTGATCTTATTACAAATCCCAGGGGCAAGTAACTCTTGACCTTGAAGCACACAGCCCTGCTTTCCTTTTTTTTTTTTTTTTTTTTTTTTTTTATTGGAGGTTTCAGTGGGATGGGAGAATCACAAGGAATCAGGTGTTCAGAGGAATGTATTGAGTAGAGGTGAGGAACTAGGATGTTGAAAAGTAAAAAAAGGAGAGAAGGAGAGAAAGAAAGAGGGAGAGAGAACAGGAATATTGCTTCATTCTAAAAATGGGTATTAATAATGGCCGATCAATATTTTGTGTATTTAAAATGGAGAACTCTATAAATATTTATTGAGTTTACTTGTTCTGGATCTGAGTTGAAGTCCTGGATATCCTTATTAATTTTCTGTCTCGTTGAGTCTAAATCTCATTATGGGTCTTATGTATCTGGGTAATAAGATCTCTTATTATTGCATTGATCGTTTTACCACTGTATCTTTGTTGCTTTGAAATCTATTTGAGATCTATTTTATCAAATGTGAGAATTGCAATTCCTGCTTTTTGTTTATTTATTTAATTTATTTGCTCTCCATTTGGTTGGTAAATTTTTCTCCAAACCTTTGTTTTGAGTCTTTATGTATTTGGATATACCGTTAGGTTTTGGCTGTATCTTTTGATTGGGGGATTTAGTCGATCCAAGATGGCTGATCACTAACAGCTCAGGATTGTAGCTCCCAGTGAAAGCTCAGAGAACGAGAGGATGCCACACTTTCAGGCAAATTTTTGTTGCTCACGGACCAGCAGATTTCTAGTGGAGGAGCCCACGGGTCGCCAGCACAACTCTTGTGACCGGCGCAGCGGTTTTGCCGGTGCCTTGGCGCGGCAGCTCTTCATGCAGAGTAAACAGGACTGGTTCCCTTACTGACTGGTGTTTGGAGCTCCGGGAAGGCAGAGCCACTTGTTGCGGACTCAAGAAGGAAGCCAGACCAGAGATTCCCGGGCAGAAGAGCACCATCAGTCTTATCGCTGCTATTTTGGCCGGCGCAGTGGGTTGCTTGAATCCCAGTCTATTCAATAAATTGGGAATCAATAAATTGGACGTCAACTCAGAAATCTAATTAGAAAGGCAGTAACTGTAAAGACGACAGATGGATAAATTTATAATAAAGGAAAAAAAAACAGCCTAAGAAGGCCGAGCATACCCAAAATCAGAACCCCTCTCCCTCTACAGGGGATTGCAGTTCCTCATCAGCAATGGAACAAGCCCTGATGGAAAAAGACTGTTGTTCCATTATCTGAAGTAGGCTTCAGAAGGTGGATGATAAGAAACTTATGGGAATTAAAAGAACTTGTTCTAACCCAATGTAAAGAAACTAAGAACTTTGAAAAAAGGTTTGACAAAATGCTGAAAAGAATAAACAATATAGAGATGAATATAAATGAACTAACGGAGTTGAAAAATACAACACGAGAATTTAGTGAAATATGCACAAGTTTAAACAGCAGAATGGATCAAGCAGAAGAAAGGATATCAGAGGTCGAAGACCAACTTAATGAAATAAAACTACAAGACAAGAATAGAGAAAAAAGGATGAAAAGGAATGAGCAAAGTCTCCAAGAAATATGGGACTATGTGAAAAGACCCAATCTATGCTTGATTGGTGCACCTGAATGTGATAGAGAGAATGAATCCAAGCTGGAAAATACTTTTCAGGATATTATCCAGGAAAATTTTCCCAATCTAGCAAAGCAGGACACTATTCAACCCCAAGTAATACAGAGAACACCACAAAGATATTCCTCAAGAAGAGCAACCCCAAGGCACATAATCATTAGATTCACCAGGATCGAAACGAAGGAGAAAATACTAAGGGCAGCCAGAGAGAAAGACCAGGTTACCCATAAAGGGAAGCCTATTAGACTTACAGCAGATCTCTCAGCGAAAATCCTACAAGCCAGAAGAGCGCGGGGGCCACTATTCAACATACTTAAGGAACAGAACTTTCAGCCTAGAATCTCATATCCTGCCAAACTAAGCTTCACAATTGAAGGAAAAATAAAATCTTTTATGAACAAGCAAGTACTCAGAGATTTTATTACCACCAGGCCGGCTTTACAAGAACTTCTGAAAGAAGCATTATACATAGGAAGGAACAACCAGTATGAGCCTTTCTAAAAATATACCAAAAAGTAAAGAGCATCAACATAAAGAAGAATTTACATCAACGAATGGATAAAATAGCCAGTTAACATCAAATGGCAGTAACCCTAAATTTAAATCGACTAAATCCCCCAATCCTCTTTGTTTTTGATGATTTTTCCCTCTGAGGTAAGCAGCCCTCTTTCTTTATAAATGGCTCCATGTACATGGGCTGTAGCAAAGGCATATCAACTATCCGTGTAGATATTGACAGTTTTTCCCTCTGCCCAGTCCAAGGCCTTTATCAGAGCTATGAGTTCTGCCTTCTGGGCTGAGGTCCCGTGTGGGAGAGGCTGGGCCCAGATAACCCACTCTAGGGTGACCACAGCTGCCCCAGCATACCTGACTCCCTTTACCATGAAGCTGCTTCCATCTGTATACAATACCTCTTCCAGGTTCTGCAGAGGGACGTTGGTGATATCCGGTCACGCAGTGTGGAGGACATCTATTGTCTGTTGGCAGTCATGTAAGGGCTCCTCTGGCTTGCTGTCAGGTAGCAATGTGGCAGGGTTTAAAACTGTGGTCTTTAAGAACTTTATGCGGGGCTGATCCGAAAGTAAGGCCTGATATTAAACTATGCAGGCGTTTGACATCCATTTTCCCGGGGCTCCACGGAGTAGTGACTCCACCGCGTGGGGAGCTACCAAGTTTAACCCCTGCCCCAAAGTCAGCTTGTCCGCCTCCTTGACTGATAAGGCTGTGGCCACCACCACTCTTAGGCAAGCTGGCCATCTGGAGGCTACGGGGTCAAGTTTTTTTGAGAGGTAGGTGACTGGCTGGGACCAGGGTCCCAGAGTTTGGGTGAGCACCCCCTTAGCGACTCCCTGTTTTTCATGCACAAACAACTGGAAAGGTTTAGAGATGTCTGGCAAGGCCAAGGCAGGGGCCGCAGTCAGGGCAGTCTTGAGCTTGTCAAAAGCCCGTTGCTCTACCTCTGTCCATGTCAAGGGCTGATTTCCTCCAGTGCAGGCATACAGGGGCTTGGCTATCTCAGCAAATCCCAAAATCCATAGTCTGCAGTATCCTACTGCCCCAAGGAATTCTCAAACTTGGCGTTTTGTGGTGGGGGTGGGTATTTGCAGCACTGCTTGGATTAGGCTGGGTTCCAGTGCCCGGTTGCCCTTCTCTATAATATAGCCCAGGTAAGTAACTCTCGGCTGGCAGAGTTGGGCCTTTTTAGCTGAGACCTGGTACCCCAAAGTCTGCAGTGTTTTTGATAATTACTGAGTGGTCTCTTTACAGGCCTCCTGGGTTTTTGTAGCCAAGAGTAAGTCATCCATGTATTGGAGCAGGGTACATTCTGGGAACTTAGCTCGGAAAGCTGCAAGGTCTTGGCTCAATGCCTCATCAAACAGCGTAGGGCAATTTTTGAAACCCTGTGGCAGTCTCATCCAAGTGAGTTGCCCAGAAACCCATGTATCTGGGTCAGTCCATTCAAAAGCAAATATGGGCTGGCTGATGGGAGCCAGCGGTATACAAAAGAATGCATCTTTTAGGCCCAGGACCATGTAGTGGAGGTGGTCCGGGAGCAATAGACTCAGGAGGGTGTACAGGTTCGGAACTGTAGGATGAACAGTTTCCACTCATTTGTTTACCTCCCTCAAGTCCTGTACAGGTCGATAGTCCTTTGTGCCTGGTTTTAGGATGAGGAGTAAGGGAGTATTCCAGGGGGACTTACAGGTAGTAAGGATTCCTCCTTTTAGAAGTCTGGTTATATGTGGAGCAATTCCCCGTCTAGCTTCCTGGCTCATGGGATATTGTCATACCTGGACTGGAGTTGCCATTGCCAATAGCTGGACCATGACCGGGGTATGGTGACTTGCCAAGCCTGGGGGATTTGTCTCAGCCCATACTCCAGGTACCTTTTCTTGAAACTGGCAGAGGAGGTCTGATGTTGGCGGTTGATCTGCTTCTGAGGATAAAGCTTCCTGCAAGAGATACTCATCTGATAGAGCACAGATGAGGATTTTCTGAGGTGGCCCTGATGTCAAGGGGGGAGGAATTGAGAGGCAAGCCTGACTCTAGCAGAAAGAAATATTTGCTTGAAGTTTGTGGAGTAAATCCTGTCCTAGGAATGGGTATGGACACTCTGGAATAACAAAAGAGGAGTGGGTGACAGTACAATTTCCCAGATCAACGAGTCGGTTGGTGGTCCAAGGGCTTGATGTGGTTTTTCCTGTAGCTCCCTGAATAATTGTTTTTCTGTTGGACAGTGGTCCCAATGGCTGAGTAAGGACCGAGTGGGCTGCTCCAGTTTCGACCAAGAAACTGACAGGTGTGCCCCCAACTTTCAAAGTGACCCTGGGCTCCTGGGGGCTTAGTTGATAAGAGCCCGGGGTCTGTCAGTCCCAGGTTTCTAAGCTGAAAATGGCCTTTGGCTGTCTCTCCTGTATTACCCCTCGACTCCTTCTTTCTGGACATTCCTTCCTCCAGTGTCCCTCTCTTTGGCAGAATGTGCATTGGTTAGGCCCCAGCTGGGGCCTCTGTCTCCTAGGGACTCTCTGCTGGATTTCTGGTTCCCTTGAGATAACTCAGGTTTCCTGACCTCCAATGGAGGCATAGGTTTCCTGGAGAGCTGCTATTACTGCCCTAGTAACTCTCTTATCTTGTTTGGCTTCTAAGGTGTCTCTATTGTTAAAAACTTTTTAGGCGATCTCCAACAACTGAGTTAGATTCATTCCCTGGAACCCCTCTAATTTTTGCAACTTTCTTTTGATGTCTGGGGCTGACTGGGAAACAAAAGCCAGATTGATGGCCCGCTGATTTTCCAGGGCCTCAGGGTCAATAGGTGTGTAGGTGCGGTAGGCGTCCTGTAGGCGCTCAAGGAAAGCGGCTGGAGGCTCCTGCGGACCCTGGGTCACAGTCCCTACCTTGGAGAGGTTGGTGGGTTTTTGGGGTGCCCCCTTAATTCCCTCTAATAAGTACCAGTGAAAATTGGTCAAAGCCTAAATGCCCACTGAGGTGTTTGGGTCCCATTGGGGCCTGGTGGAAGGGAAAAGTTCATTAATTTGTTCCTGGCGGTCTTGCACTGACCCTCCCCCTGTCCCAAGTATTGCTTTATGGGCTTCTTATCTAATTCTACTTCTTTCCTCCGTGGTAAACAACACCAGGAGCAGCTGCTGACAATCATCCCAGGTTGGACGGTGGGTTTAAAAAACTGACCCCAGGAGTCCTGTGAGTGCCTGGGGCTTTTCAGAAAATGGAGGGTGTTGTGCCTTCCAGTTATACAAGTCACTAGAGAAAAAGGGGATATGAACAGAGAAAGGGTGGCCCCGGCTGCTGCCGTCTGCGGGAGGTGCCTCCCGGAGGGGCAACAGCTCTGGCGGGTGTGGGGCCCCGCTTCGAGTGTGGAGAGGAGACAAGGGCTGGTCATTAGTACTGTCCAGGAAGGGGTGTTGGGACCCTGCCCCTGAAGGCCGAGAATACGGTGGAGGCAACTCTTGATCCTCGGCAGGGCCTGGAAGAACAGCCGGTGCTGAGGGGCTCTTCTTTGGGCCTGCTAGCATAACCACTTTATACATTTTTCAGCACACTTTATACATTTCCAGCACACTTTATACATTTTTCAAGCCAAGGAGGGGGGTGCTGGTTCAGCCTCAGCCATTGATCGATGTATGGAAATTGCTCAGGGTGGCCTGGGGACCCTGACACAATGTTCCAGACAGCCTGAGTTATCTTGGGGTCATAAGTCCACGTATCTGGCCAGCCTACCCCAAAGCCTGGCCACTCTAACTCACAGAGGGTCCGAAGCCTCTGTGGGGTTAGTTTAACACCATACTGGCCAGAGAACCCTATTTTAAAGTTTTCCATCATGCATCGAATGGGGGTGCATGGTCAGGACTGAGACGAGCCCATTTGGTTCTTTTTTTTTTTTTTTTTTTTTTTCAGTTTTAAATTTTTCCTTGAGAGATTTTACTAATTTAAGACTGGCTTTACTGAGGACTTGAACTAACAATTTTGCAGCTTGGGGGTGGGGGGAGGCTGTGCTAACAAATAATTTGCACTACTAAGAGTTAGAAAGCTTTTCTTAAAGCCAGTTTTTAGATGCAAATGCTACACTCTGAGGCAGGTTTCTGCCTGAAAGCTGGGTGGGGCTGGCAGCCGGCAGAGGAGGGAAAAAAATGCTTTTTGTGTCAGTTTAAACTGAGCTCCAAGCCACTGCTGGGCCGGCTGCGAGTTCCCTGCCCGCAGCTTTTTGTCACCTTTACACAGGGACCCTGAAAAGCATTTAATTCCTGTCTCCCTCTTTTTTTTTTCACTCTCTTCTCTGTCTCCTCTCTCTCTCCCTATTTCCTCTCCCCTCTCTCTTTCCCTATTTCCTCTCTCCTCTCTCTTGCTTTCTTTTCCTTTTTTTTGGGACTTTTGCTTACTACTCATGTCTCTCTCTGTGGTATAGCCAATTTTGAAAAGCCTCCAATTCAAATTTTGCCCTCTCTAAAGCAGGTTTAAGTAAGCCCTCCACAGCCAGGTCCTGCAAGGACCAGACAATTGATTTGGTGGGTCTGTCTCTAGTCCTATCCAAAGGAACAGGGGATAAGGGCCAGGGTAAGGTGGCGGTCTCTCTCTCCACAAACCACAGCTGGCGAGAATAAGCTCTATGAAGGTTTACTGCTGCTCAGGCATAATCCTCCCGATTATAGGCTCTCCTATCCAAAGCCTGTGGAAAAGTGTGGATATGGCAAAAGAGATGAACTAACAGATCAACTGGGTGTGTATTTTGTACCCACCACAATTCATAGAGTGAGCAAAAGAGTTGCCAATCTGTCTTTAGTGGTTTATGGCACCCGAATTCCCAACAATTGGGATGATGCCAGTATGCTTCCCTGTAATACATCACCGGGCACTGCCCATAACAACATTGGACACTTTTCTGACAGAATAGGCAGTTACCAGTTTTCCATCCCAATCTGACAAAGAGCTCTCGTAGACCCTGATCTAGGACTTTGTTTCCTACAACCCCAAAGAAACTGCTTCCAAGGTGCCGAGGGCACAACGGCCTTCCTGACGTGGACTCAGACCCAGCACAGGCAAAAATACTCTTTTCCCGGTGGAGGTGGTTGGGAAAATTTACAAGCCACAATGATCATAACAAGGAAGAGAATAAAAACAACTAAAGTTAAGACTATCTGCCACATGGCGGAGAAAGAAAGAATGAGGCCTCAGTGATAGAAGAAGAAGATGAGAAAGAAGGAGAAGAGAGTAATCTCTGCAGGGGTATAATCAATAAAAGTTCCCTGCATCCAGTGGTTCATCAACCACTGTAATATATCCCCTACTTCAAGGAAAGATGGTCTGAACCAGTGTATGTCTGCTAGCAGAAGTCCAATAAAACTAACAAATTTACGGATGAGACAGAACCACATGAAAGAGTGACAAACAAGGGATGGGAGCCTCCCAGAGGAGACCACTCAGTTGCCTTCTCAGCCACACCCCTGGAGGGGTCTTTCAGGTGCATCTTGGCTAAGGTGTACCCATATAACCCCCGGGCCTGGTCACCTCAGGATGGAAGTCCGAGTAGGACAGCTCTGAGGTGAATCACCATTATGCCTTATGATGCTCCCGTGGAACCATGGGTGGAGGCCCACTCAAGTCCCATGGCTGAAAGCCATGGGACTAAATATATACACACACTCTCTCTCACTCACATGGAGGCTACAGAAAACAATCGAATGCTGACACCCACTATGCCAGCTACGGAAGCTGATACCCACTATACCAGCTACCAGAAGGCTGCCACCCTCTATGACAGCCACCAGAAGCCTCAAGCAACGTCTCGGTGAGGCTTGCCAGGTCAGAGTTGCAATGACTCGTCAGTCCCCCAACTCAGGTCCTTTTTCCCAGATTCCAAACCAAACCTACCTCCGGAGGCTTTTAGGACCCTTAAGAATTTTGGGTGAACGTCGGCCAGGTGGGTGCTCTTCCGCAGTGGCACTCCGGGGCCCTGAGACAGCTCAGGGGGCTCCTCCCCAAGAGGCTCCCAAGGAGGGAGCAGCTGCCCGGGCGAGACTCTGAGATGGATGGCTTTTGTCTGGTGGTGAAAAATAAAAATATCTTGCTGGGGCCTCCAAAATGTTATATCAAAGCGAGCACAGAAAGTCGAACACCAGAACAAAAGTAGGACAAATTGCAGGGTTTATTGCCGGCGACCACGGAGGACTCACGTCTCTCCAACCCATGGCCCCGTAAAAGAGGGTGACAAGACCTTTTATACTCATAAAATCATCTTGGGGGTGAGGGGAGAGGATGGGGTGAGGGGCTTCACACATTCCGAGGACCAGTAGATTCAAATCACCTTCTGGGTGGAGAGGACGGTGAGGGGGTTCCGGACATTTCGAGAGCCAGGGGACTATTTGACATTCTGATTGTCATTTAAGGGGTTCACAGATGCTGAGATTAACATTCGTTTACACATCATCTGGGTAGGGGTGGGATCCATAGATTTTTATTTACTTGGCGCCAGGATGGAATTATCTGGGGGTGCTTACTCTGGTAAACAAAGGCCAGCAATTCTGGCATTTACAGATAAGAGAAGGTATGCAGCTTTACCTCAATTTGCATCCTGCAAATGATCTAGCAATTTACAAAAGCCAAGGTTGCGAATGATCCAGGATGGCCGATCGATAACAGCTCGGGATTGCAGCTCTCAGTCAAAGGGCAGAGAACTAGAGGATGCCACACTTTCAGACAAATTCTGGTCACTCACAGAGCAGAAGATCCCCAGTGGAGGAACCACACGGGTCACCAGCGCAACTCTTGCGGCCGGCGCAGCGGTTTCACCAGCATCTTGGCGTGGCAGCTCTTGGAGCAGAGTAAACAGGGCTGGCTCCCCTTCTGACCGAGGCTTGGAGGACCCACACGGGCCGCCAGCGTGACTCTTGTGGCCAGCGCAGCAGCTTCTCTGGCACCTCGGTGGGGCAGCTCTCAGAGCAGAGTAAATACGGCCGGCTCCCCTTCTGACCGAGGTTTGGAAGACCCACACGGTTCCCCAGCACAACTCCTGAGACCGGTGCAGCATCTGTGATGGCACCTCAGCACAGCAGCTCTCGGCGCAGAGTAAACGAGACTGGTTCCCCTTCTGACCAAGGTTTGGGGCCTAGGGAAGGCAGAGTCGCCCATTACAGACACAAAAAGGAATCCAGACAGGAGAATCCTGGGCAGAAAAGCACCATCAGTCTTAACGCCGCTGTTCTGGCCCTGGGAACTAACAACTTGGACGTCCAATCGAGAGACCTAATCTGAAAGTTGGTAATTTCAAAGACAACAGGAGGATGGAACAAACCAGCATAAAAAGGCTGAGAATACTCAAAATCAGAACGCCTCTCCCTCTAAAGATCATCACAGTTCCACAGCAATGATGGAACAAGGCTTGACAGAGAACGAGCGCATCCCAATGACAGAATCACTCTTCAAGGAATGGATAATAAGAAACTTCTGTGAGTTAAAAGAACATGTTGTAGCCCAACGTAAAGAAACTAGGAACTTTGAAAAAAGGTTTGATGAAATCCTATTGAGAATAGACAACTTAGAGAGGAATATAAATGAATTAATGGAACTGAAGAATACAATACAGGAACTCCGAGAAGTATGCACAGGTTTAAACACTCGAATTGTTCAAGCAGAAGAAGGGATATCAGAGGTCAAAGTCCAACTTAATAAAAGAAAACAAGAAGACAAGATTAGAGATAAAAGGATAAAAAGGCAAGAGCAAAGTATCCAAGAAATGTGGGAGTATGTGAAAAGACCAAATTTATGTTTGATAGGTGTACCTGAATGCGATGGAGAGAATGAATCCAAGCTAGAAAATACCCTTCAGGATATTATTCAGGAAAATTTTCCTGATCTAGCAAAGCAGGTCAATATTCAACCCCAGGTAATACAGAGAACACCACAAAGATATTCCTCAAGAAGAGCAACCCCAAGGCACATAATCATTAGATTCACCAGGGTTGAAATGAAGGAGAAAATACTAAGGGCAGCCAGAAAGAAAGGTCAGGTTACCCACAAAGGCAAGCCTATCAGACTTACAGCAGATCTCTCAGCAGAAACTCTACAAGCCAGAAAGAGTGGGGGCCAATATTCAACATCCTCAAAGAACAGACCCTTCAGCCCAGAATTTCATATCCAGCCAAGCTAAGCTTCACAACTGAAGGAAAAATAAAATCTTTTATGAACAAGCAAGTACTCAGAGATTTTATTACCACCAGGCCTGCTTTACAAGAGCTTCTGAAAGAGGCATTACACACAGAAAGAAACAACCAGTATTAGTCTTACTAAAAATATACCAAAAAGTAAAGAGCACCAACAGAAAGAAGAATTTTCATCAACGAATGGATCAAACATCGAGTTAACATCAAATGGCAGTAACCCTAAATTTAAATCGACTAAATCCCCCAATCAAAAGACACAGCCAAAACCCAATGGCATGTTACATCCAGACCTGTTTCACATGCAAGGATACACAAAGACTCAAAACAAAGGGATGGAGAAAGATTTACCAACCAAATGGAGAGCAAAAATAAATAAATAAATAAATAAATAAAAAGCAGGAGTTGCAATTCTCACAGCGGATAAAATAGATTTTAAAGCAACAAAGATATAGTGGTAAAAGGATCAATACAACAACAAGAGCTAATGATCCTAACACCCAGATACATAGAGACTTAGATTCAATGAGACAGAAAATTAATAAGGATATCAAGGACTCGAACTCAGATCCGGAACAAGTAAACTTAATAAATATTTATAGAGCTCTCCACTTCAAATACACAAAATATACATTCTTGTCAATACCACATCATAACTACTCATAGGTTTAAATGAAACATTGATTGGCCATTATTAATACCCATTTTTTTTTTTCAGAATAAAGCAATATTTCCATTCAACCTCCCTCTCTCTCTTCCTCTTTCTTTCTCTCCCTTACTCATTTTTTTTTCTTTCCTTCTCAAAAAAAAGAAATCAATTTGTAAACCTCTAGATCCAGGTCGGCAATGTCTCTCTTATTGCTTGAATTCCTTCCTTCCCTCCCTTCCTTCCCTCCCTCCCCCCCTTCCTCCCTTCCTTCCTTCATCCTTCCTCCCTCCCTTACTCCTTCCCTCCCTTCCTGCCTTCCTCCCTTCCTCCTTCCCTCCCTAAAAAAAAAAAAAAGCCAAGGTTAGCAGTCATTGTGAGGAGAATGGAAACAGTTTTGTTCTTTATAAAATGGCATTGTACAGGTTCTAACTCTAGGTCAGCTATACCACAGAATAATATAAGTATATTAGTAGTGCTTGATTTTCAAAATTTTAAGCATTTTCTATTGGTTTTCTACCGTAACATCCTTCTGTGACAGATGCATATGCACACAAACAAGCACACGTACACCTCCTTTCCCACATCTTTCCTTCCCAGTATCATATTGCAACTTTGGTTAGATTAATAATAGGTATTTATAATATTACATAAAAACTATTCACAAAGGAGCCACGTCTTGCTTTACAACAGCCTTAACTTTTTTTGTACTTTTTCATTTTTTTTCCTGAAGTTAAAGGAAACAAACAAAACAGTTGTTTTATTCTATTGTTTCCTTAAGTGCTTATAACTATCTTAGCTCCAAACTCTCCTCTAGGTAAATAAATCTTTCAATATTTTTAAGCTGTAGGGAAACTGCCAGTTTCACATTTCTATGGAATTCACTGTAGAACTGTTTGCCCCACTCATACCTAGACTGTTTATTCTTGTAGGAGCCAAAGGAAAACTTCCCCTTTACTCTCTGAAGGTTCATGAAAATCAACTGACAAAAAGCAGGTTAGTTGGAGAGAAAGCATACAAGCTTATTTGATCCTAGCTTTATGTGACATGGGAATGACCTTCAGAATGAATATCCAAAGATACAAAAAAAAATGTGCAGTTTTATGCTTAGGTTCAACAAAGTATGGCAGCCATATAGAAATACAACTGGGCAAAAAAGGGTATGACCTAATGGTATTACACTGCATGGGAAAACCCAGCAAGGCTTGTCTGTTTAGACTCTATTTGGCCTCTCCGTGCAGCATTCCTTTCTTCTGGGTCTGAGGAAGGACCCTCTCTGGAATGGGGGTCTTACGGCCTACCACCAAACAAAGTAAGTCAGATGGGTTCCTTTCATCCAGTTTACACAGAAAGGCAGAAGGGAGTTAAGAGTAATATTTTTAGGTTCTATGGCTGGCTTTGAAGAAAAGGGGTTCTGGTTTCTATGACTCACTTTGGGGAAAAGGGATTCTAGTTTTCAGCTAGCCTTGGAGGAGAAGGAGAGGACAGAGACAGGAGAGCCAGAGAGATCAGATAGAGCTGCTTCTGAGGTGTGTTCACTTTGGGGTATCATGTTCTGAGCCTCTACACTCTCTAGGCCTGCTGCCAAAGTACCAAGTCCGTTTTCACCTTCATCTGGGCTTTCCCTCCCCTCTCTTGTAGGGAGTCTCTTGCATTGGAGCCTGTCTTTCCTAACTCCTATTCCTTCTTTTGCCTATGTTTACTCCTAGATTCTGATGAAGCATCTTCTCTCAGCTTCTTGAGGAACCATGCATGCACATTTTTTATCTACATGTAGGAAAATATCTTTATTCTATCCTCACAATTATAGGCCAAGGTGGGCAGATCACCTGAGGTCAGGAGTTCAAGGCCAGCCTGGCCAACATGCAGGAACCCTGTCTCTACTAAAAATACAAAAATTAGCTGGGTGTGGTGGTGGGTACCTGTAAGCACAGCTGAGGCAAGAGAATTGCTTGAACCGAGGAGGTGGAGGTAGCTGTAAGCCAGGATCTTGCCACTGCACTGCAGCCTGAAAAAAAGAAAGTTTCCCCTCTGATTGCTTTGGTTAATGATTTTAGTTGACAATTATAACAGAAACTAACATTTACTTATTACTGCAGACATTATTCTAAGGACAGCTCATGTATTCTCTCATTTCATCCTCCCAACACCACAGTGAACCTGTAGTGTTGTAATTCCCAATTCACAAAACCGAAGCAGAGACATTCAATGATTTTCCCCCGAGTTTCATAGCATAAAAGTGGAGGCTGATTTCAAATCCAGATAGACAGACATTACCACCCATGTTTCTAATCATCTATTTATTTATTCAACAGCTACTTCTGGAATGCTTGCCATACCATGCAACGTGCAGGTAGTTTGGCAGGGACTGGAGATGCAGCAATAATTCAAACTAAAGTCCCCTGTCCTGTTGAAGCTAGATAACTGCTCCTTACAGTGGCCTGCGAATTATACTGATATAAGGCAGAGCAAAGATGGGGGTGCTTTGTAAATGTGTCCGTCTCCCAGTTGTACTCCCTTGACGTCATAAGAGGAAGTTTCACAAAGAGGAAGTTCTTCTAACTCACTGCTACCCAGCTGGGCTTGGCTCTTACTTAAGATTCCTTTCCCCGTAAACAGTCCTGCCAGTTGCACTTTCTAGTTTCACTTTCCCATTTGTAAGGTCAGCTGAAAGGAAACGAAACAAAAAAAAAAAAAAAAAAAAAAGGCCATTTATATATTCAGGTCTCTTTAGCATTCATTGGAGGCAGAAGAGGAAGATTTCTGAAGAGTGCAGCAGCCTGAACGGCAGCCCTGCTGAACAGCTGAGAATTGCACGGCAACCATGAGGTAAAGATTTTCCCTTCCTATCGGATTGTTCAGTCAATTTCTCAGTCAATCTCATCCACTGCAAATCCTGAGTAGCTGTGCTACCAAGGAGGGCCAGCTCCGTTTTAGTGTTTGTTTACAGCCTTACTATGCCTTTACCTCTGTCTGCTGTAAATCTGTCTTACTAATGCTGGTGTCTCCCCTCCTAAACAATTTTCTGCTTCACACTGGCAGGTTTCCCAAATTCATCTCCAGAACTGCTCATCTGGGTAACTGAGTTGTGAACAGAGAAAGAAGGCAGCAGAGAGGGAATGTTTCATCAGCCTGGTGTGTCAATTGAAGATGGGTCTGAGGGAATTGCTCTTGTGCACTGTCCCTCTCTTATTTCATATTTGAAAGGATTAAGTTTATTTCATATTTGAAAGGATTAAGTTGGGTACTGGTAGTAAAATTATTTAACAAAAGGGTTTTTTTCAGCAGATACTGTTAAAGATATACATAGAATAGCAAACCCCACTTCCTGCTAAGGTGAATTTTTACATTTAATGTAGTCTTTCATCTCAGATTTGCACAAGGGCTGGTAAAACTAATTATTTTCACCCCAAAATGCTACTGATTGGCTAGAGTCCTCCTGAGTATGAATTAGAGATGGAGTGCTTGGAGAAAATATTTCTCACCTTTGACATTCCCTTCTATTTCCAAAACATGAGACTGCCCTGGAGAGGAAGTATTAGCTCATTGAGTAGGAAGGAACTGTTTTTTCCAGTTTGAGGGTGGGGTGGTGGGACATGATTGCTTAACCCTCATCCTGGGAGATCTGGGATCCTGTGTTACCAACCCCAGTGCTCACTTCCTGTGAGATACCTTGCCCTTCTTCTGTGAGGTTCCTGATCTTTCTTTTTGAAATGATATTATTTCCTGCTAGTCTAAATGTCTGCCTGACTTAAAAAAAAAGAAGATTTGAGATATTTACAGATTTCTTTTTCTGTAGTAGCCCAGAATCTATAGAACCCTTTTCTTATTTCTTAGAATTTTAGTATGGTCTTATCTTAGAATGTTTCCCATTGTGATACAGACCTATCAGTCCTTCTCACTTTCCTTAATTCTTTATCTATCATGACTTTCACTTGGCATTGCCCTTGTACTCTAAGACAGTGGTTCTCAAAATTAAGCATGCATAAAAATTGCCTGGACAACTAATTAAGGGCAGAGTCCTAGGGTCAACTCCCTAGAGATTCTCATTAAGAGGGTCGGGGTTGGAGTCTGAGCATGTGTGTGTCTAAAAGACTTCTCAGTGATTCTGAGACTGCTTTAAGAAACTGTGGTGGTAACATTAATTTTGAGCTTGGCTGATAATGTTACTGTGGCTTTTATCCAGATATGAGGCAAAGGAAGAAATTGTTGTTGTGTATATCACTAGAACTTCTATAGGTATCAGAAGAATAAGTGCTCACAAGCCAGAGCCCAGGAAGCAAGTGTCTGGCACCAACTTCCCTGACTTAACAGTGGAAATAAATCCCAAGATCAAGCAGTGAAGTGGGATGACTTTTAAATGGCTGCTCAAAGGGATTTTACCTAAGTATGTATATTAAATGTGTCTATCCTGCAAATGTACAATTGACTATATGTTTTATATAGTGGAGATAATCTCAACTCTATTTATTTTCTTTGTTTCTTTTGTAAAAGGAGCTAAGGAGTTCATGTATTAAGGGAATCTTTCCATAACCTCACTAAGAATAAAAATAGATCTGTTTGGACATGAGTTTTTCAGGGGGAATGCTGCTTCCATTAGGATGCCAGATACCAAGCCAAGCACCCTCTCCTGGGCTTCTGCCCCTGGGGTTAGTTGCATCAGGAGACTTAGACAACCTGGCTCTTTGCTAAAACCTATTTGGAGCTTTGAATGGAAGGTAAGTCCTTCCTACAAACTCCTACCTATTTTCCCTCCTATTTTGGTCATTTGGTTGTTTTTTTTCTGCTTGGGATAGGTAAGTCTCCATTTGTTTCAAGAAACAGAGATGAGCAGGAACTGATTTAAGGTTCCTAAAGTGCCTAATAGGACCATGGATAGGACTGTAGTGACCCCAGGATGATCAGTACAGGACACTGGGGAGCTTAGAGGGCTCAGACCCTGTGTTTTCTCCATGTGCATCCAAGTCACACTCTCTACTGCATTCATTACAGCATATGATGAGTCCTCAGAATATGGCCACCCTCAGACCCTAAGCATGTGCAGTATACCTCCTGACACCTGAAGACTCACTCCAGCTTCCTTGCTACCTCTCAGTTCCATTTCTAGCTTCCACTCAAGTTTGGGTGCTCATCCCTGTTCCCAATCAAAATGGAGGTGGGAAGGAGTGATATAAAAAGTGGGAGAGAGAAGGGCAGTTAGAAAGAGGGGGCAAGTAATCTTCTATCTAGACATATATCTCAAAAGTGATCCTGCCACATTACATGACATTCTATTGGTTGTGTAAGAAGCCATACTATTTAGAAGTATAACTCCTGATAGGAGGATTGATTTACAGATACCACACAAAAAAAAATTACATGAGAAAAAGCAACATTAGAGACTCCCATACACAGACAGTGTTGAGAAATAATTCTATAACTTATGGAATGCTATTCATCTCCAAAGTAATTTGAAGTACAGGTTTTTGCCCATTTGTCTGTTTGCTGGCTTTTTTTCAGTTGTTCTTTTTTTTTTTTTTTTTTTTTTTGGCTTGGTTGGTTTTGGTTTATTTATTTATTTGGAGGACCAACACTGAAGGGAATGGAAAATCTTTCCAGGAGAGTTGTAAGGGTACCATAAAGAAAAAAGAGCTCTTTCAATAAGAAAAGGAGCTAGTGGCCTTGTGAAGCCTTCCGTGTAGCCATACTTCTTGCCCCTTGTTATTAAAGCAAATTCCAGAAGAGAAAAATAAAATTTCATAAAAAATTAAAACAAGTATAAAATTATTAATAGAGAAACTCAATGAGATGTGTTAAGAACAGAAATCACCAGTCTAAGAAGTGGAGGTATGAGAGGGGGAAAATAGAAAAAATATGTATATTTTTTATTCCAAAATAAATGTTTAAGACATTGCTACTGTAAACAGTAATTGAAATTAAATGGGAGAATAATACAAAAGCAGAGAAAATGAGTAAAAATTAAGAATGGTTGAAAATAAGATTCAAATGGTTAAAATGGAAAAATTCAACAGAAAAAAATGAGAATGTAGCATGTTAAAGTAATAAACTAATACAAAATAAAACAAATCTGATAAAAGCTCAGAAAGTTGGAATAGACAAAATAAATGTATATATTAAAAGCTGAAATAGAAAGAAAATTAAAAGTGATAAAGATTTCTTTAAAGGCAAATAAAGGAGAACTAGGTAATTAAGAATATCAAAGATAAAATGAAGCTGCATTTCAGAGGGATGAGAAATTAAAATCAGCATGGCAAAACACCAAAAGAATAAAAAATTATAAAGCTAAAATTTTCAAAGTACAACAGTAAACCTAGGGAAAAATAAAGAACAGAAACAAAAAACAATGAAAAAGACTTGCTTCTTTAAAACTGCACAAATAAAACAAAGTCTCCATAGAAGCCCTCAAGAGCAGAGGCAGAGCTATTTAACAAAAACTGCCTTTTTTTTTTTTAACAAAACTGCCTATTCATGAAAACCTACCCAAAGACTAAGAGAACAACCCACTGCCCTCACCCTAATTCTTCTGCTGCCCACAGTCCCTAAACTCCTGCTGCCACATGCAGGAATTAACAATAAGCCAAAACATATTATGGAAAGAAAAGAAGGAGAGTTTCTTTTTTTTTATTGCATTTTAGGTTTGGTGGTACATGTCCAGAACATGCAAGATAGTTGCATAGGTACACACATGGCAGTGTGTTTTGCTGCCTTCCTCTCCTTCACCTACATTTGGCATTTCTCCCCAGGATATCCCTCCCCAGCTCCCCCCGCCCACTTTCCCTCCCCTATTCCCCCCAATAGACCCCAGTGTGTAGTCCTCCCTTCCCTGTGTCCATGTGTCCTCATTTTTCATCACCCGCCTATGAGTGAGAATATGCGGTATTTCATTTTCTGTTCTTATGTCAGTTTGCTGAGAATGATGTTCTCCAGATTCACCCATGTCCCTACAAAGGACACAAACTCATCATTTTTGATTGCTGCATAATATTCCATGGTGCATATGTGCCACAT